AATTCGTCATCTTAAGGACTAAATAGATTTTCTTTGGGCCAAATTTCAGAGTTCTTGCGACTAACAAAGGAAAGTCATTGCAATGTTAAACTGAAGTGTCCAGATACTGTAAAACCTACTGTACAATGTCCAAACGAGTTTATGTTTCACTGTCACATGAGATTCTATGTCATGCAATGGTCCGCGACAAAGATGTTATGGTAGCCTGTGTACAGCCGCCCCCCCTCCCCTCAGGAAAAAAACAGAGAAGGGGCATTTTTTTCTGAGTTGACGGGGCGGCTGTACACAGGCTAGTTTTATGGCAGCCCAGTTAAATTGACTCTCAGCGAGTCTAGTTTACTGCAGAGGGAACATTTTTAAAACACAAATGGAACCCTCGAAGAAACTCTACCTGGAAATTTCGGATCCACTTTGAATCGAATAGCTACAATCTTGGACAAAATAAATGGAAAACCTAGACCCCCCCTTCCCTCCCAAATCAAGAATGGGAAAATGGCGCGTTTTTGGCCTTCGCGCCGCTTCATCCTTGATTTGGGGGGAATTGGGGTTTGCTGTTCCATTTTATTTTGTCCAAGATTGTAGCTCCAGTGTCCCAGCGATACATCCCCACCAAAAATTCCTATAGTACCCCATAGGGGTCAGGGTTTGAAAGGTAAACCTCCCTTGAGTGACCCCCACACCCACGGGCGCGTGATCGGTATGAACCAGACCTTACAAGAATGTGTTGCATAACAGTAATATTATTGGGTTCTGTAAACACTGGAAAAGTGTGAATGGACAATCTTTAAAAGGCAAAGTTCGTTTTTCAGAGAAACTGGTCGATTTGCTCGCCTTTTTTATCACGAATACCTAAAACTTACGCAATGCTGTTTTTGCATTGGGGGAATCCCCAAAATATCCTTTCAACTCTCTTTAGTCAAAAGCTAAAGGCTTTCAAATGGTTATGCTAGTCTAGGCCTTACACCCCTTCTGCTGACACCTGTGTTTTAACATATAAGTTTGTAACTAACCACACTATTAAACGGCTCCAGTATGCAAATAAGGCGATAGTAAACGGAATGTTTCATGAGGTATTAAATACTCTTGGCCTACGCTTACTTGCGTTTAACTCAGTTGGGTATTGAATTTCAGTATTAGGTGACAGTTATTTGTGACACTATCTATAACTGCCCAGTCAGTCTGTTAGAAGCCTCACACACTCGTGAGAGTTACGAAGTTCGCGTCACCTAAATCTTTTTATATAACTGTGTTTTTATCCTATTCAGCAGTCGTACTATCTAGTGAAACCTTTCGTAGTAGCATAAGGAAAATCTCACTCTTATCCCGGAGTGGGACAGTTTAGAACTTGCTGATCACCTTGACCCCGAGGTTCGTTGCCGCCATGAGGGCGAAATGGCGCCTGCTAGTCATTACGGTTTTGGGCCGAATGGTGAGTACTATAACCTTCAAATCTTCCATTTTAATGGTAGGAAGGACACACTGGTACAGATTACTTTCTATTCAGCTTTAGCTCCATACTTTTATATGCAAATTACTAGCGCGGCATAAATGAAGTATGAAAATATATGTACTGTAGTTTGTTGTGTAGAAAGTGTTTACAATAGATAGTCGAATGAAGATAAAATATTCATATTACTACTGCCTCTACGGCTATTTCATATCTTTTCTGGTTATGAAAGTCGTATTGTAGCGACTTTTGGTAAATTCGTAAAACTGGATAGGAAAATGTAGGCGGTCTATATGAACAGTGTTGTGACGGAAGTTATATCTTTAGCAATGACTTAATGAAGAATTTAAAATACGCTAGACAGGAAGTGGTGCAATAGTGCTCGTGGGATGATTGCGTCATCAATTTTGGTCTGCAGTCATTTCTATTCTAACTCTACTACCCCCGCAGTATATATTGGCATATGCGTGCTTGCGCTCGACGATCTCTAAAAAACATCAGAAAACTCGTACTCTTCCTGCCAGTTCCTCTTTCTCCATTCTTTCTGTTGCCTTCTCTATTGAGCCCATTTTTTTCTATTCTATTCCAGTTTACTTTTCCTTCTCGCAACACTTGAGCATGTCCTTCTTTCCTATTCTTCCCAATTTCAGTTTTTCGTTTTTACAATCCATCAGAGAAGGAGCTCAACAAGAGGGCGACATTAGGGGACTGTCAACACCGCAACACCCCAGAAAAAAAATAAGAAACATTGCATCACCCCAAAAACAGTTGACGAAACACCGACAACATTAATCTAACCCATTTTAAATAAACTCCATATAACTGAGGAAGGAGGATCTCGGAGCTGGTTTTGATTTAGTAGAGACTCAGACTGACCTCAAGATTCTAAGAGCTCTATTTCAGTCATGCAGATAAAAATAATGCATGGTGGCGTGTTACGAACTTTCCAACGATTAGTTTCGGATCCGGATTTTTCCCTCTTCATAAAAGAGGGACACAGCCGGATATACAATCTATTGTAGGCTCAATTGCCTCGATGTTGCAGCCATCAGGAGCCATTGACAGCGCGCTTACAGGATGAACTAACCATTAATAAAAAAAAAAAGTATCAAGAGAGTTTTTACTGAAGCCTCAATGTTCTTAATGTTCCTCGTTTTAATAAGTAACTACGGTCAAATAATAAACCACAACACCGCAAAGGGTCCGCAAGTTATTTCGTTTCACCGTGAGTACCGTAGGTTTAAAATGAGAAACACCGCACACCGTACGGTTTGAGATCACCGCAACACCGCAAGATGGGATTTTATTCTCGGCAATACCGCAAAATATTAGCGACACCGCAAATCCCCATGCCCCCCTCCAACAACATTCAGTCGTCCTTCAATGCGTCTGTTCTTCACGCTCTTTGAAGCACCTTGATGTCAGTGGCCACTTCACTGCGAGTTTGTGGTATTTTCTGGAGAGGGAAAATGGTTGCTGTGACGGTATTTATGTTTATAAAGTACTATTTTGCTAAGAGCGGAGGAGCAGAGACAAAAAACAAAAAAGAAACAAAAAAAAAAATCGTGGGTTTTGTGATGGGGAGACCCTTTGAGAAGAGGGGGGGGGGGGGGGGGGGTGTCTGGAGCAGTTTAGTCATATAGGGTAGCAAAATTCAGCTAAACTAGCTTTAAAACTACAATCTTGGACAAAATACATGGAAAACCTAGACCCCACCCCTCCCCCCCAAATCAAGGATGGGAAAATGGCGCGTTTTTGCCCTTCGCGCGGCTTCATCCTTGATTTGGGGGGGGGGATAAGGGTTTGCTGTTCCATTTTATTTTGTCCAAGATTGTAGCTCTGGTATAGGTTAAGGGTTCCAGGGTCCCAGCGATACATCCCCACCCAAAAATTCCTATAGTACCCCATAAGGGTCAGGGTTTGAAAGGTAAACCTCCCTTGAGTGACCCCCACACCCACGGGCGCGTGATCGGTATGAACCAGACCTTACAAGAATGTGTTGCATAACAGTAATATTATTGGGTTCTGTAAACACTGGAAAAGTGTGAATGGACAATCTTTAAAAGGCAAAGTTCGTTTTTCAGAGAAACTGGTCGATTTGCTCGCCTTTTTTATCACGAATACCTAAAACTTACGCAATGCTGTTTTTGCATTGGGGGAATCCCCAAAATATCCTTTCAACTCTCTTTAGTCAAAAGCTAAAGGCTTTCAAATGGTTATGCTAGTCTAGGCCTTACACCCCTTCTGCTGACACCTGTGTTTTAACATATAAGTTTGTAACTAACCACACTATTAAACGGCTCCAGTATGCAAATAAGGCGATAGTAAACGGAATGTTTCATGAGGTATTAAATACTCTTGGCCTACGCTTACTTGCGTTTAACTCAGTTGGGTATTGAATTTCAGTATTAGGTGACAGTTATTTGTGACACTATCTATAACTGCCCAGTCAGTCTGTTAGAAGCCTCACACACTCGTGAGAGTTACGAAGTTCGCGTCACCTAAATCTTTTTATATAACTGTGTTTTTATCCTATTCAGCAGTCGTACTATCTAGTGAAACCTTTCGTAGTAGCATAAGGAAAATCTCACTCTTATCCCGGAGTGGGACAGTTTAGAACTTGCTGATCACCTTGACCCCGAGGTTCGTTGCCGCCATGAGGGCGAAATGGCGCCTGCTAGTCATTACGGTTTTGGGCCGAATGGTGAGTACTATAACCTTCAAATCTTCCATTTTAATGGTAGGAAGGACACACTGGTACAGATTACTTTCTATTCAGCTTTAGCTCCATACTTTTATATGCAAATTACTAGCGCGGCATAAATGAAGTATGAAAATATATGTACTGTAGTTTGTTGTGTAGAAAGTGTTTACAATAGATAGTCGAATGAAGATAAAATATTCATATTACTACTGCCTCTACGGCTATTTCATATCTTTTCTGGTTATGAAAGTCGTATTGTAGCGACTTTTGGTAAATTCGTAAAACTGGATAGGAAAATGTAGGCGGTCTATATGAACAGTGTTGTGACGGAAGTTATATCTTTAGCAATGACTTAATGAAGAATTTAAAATACGCTAGACAGGAAGTGGTGCAATAGTGCTCGTGGGATGATTGCGTCATCAATTTTGGTCTGCAGTCATTTCTATTCTAACTCTACTACCCCCGCAGTATATATTGGCATATGCGTGCTTGCGCTCGACGATCTCTAAAAAACATCAGAAAACTCGTACTCTTCCTGCCAGTTCCTCTTTCTCCATTCTTTCTGTTGCCTTCTCTATTGAGCCCATTTTTTTCTATTCTATTCCAGTTTACTTTTCCTTCTCGCAACACTTGAGCATGTCCTTCTTTCCTATTCTTCCCAATTTCAGTTTTTCGTTTTTACAATCCATCAGAGAAGGAGCTCAACAAGAGGGCGACATTAGGGGACTGTCAACACCGCAACACCCCAGAAAAAAAATAAGAAACATTGCATCACCCCAAAAACAGTTGACGAAACACCGACAACATTAATCTAACCCATTTTAAATAAACTCCATATAACTGAGGAAGGAGGATCTCGGAGCTGGTTTTGATTTAGTAGAGACTCAGACTGACCTCAAGATTCTAAGAGCTCTATTTCAGTCATGCAGATAAAAATAATGCATGGTGGCGTGTTACGAACTTTCCAACGATTAGTTTCGGATCCGGATTTTTCCCTCTTCATAAAAGAGGGACACAGCCGGATATACAATCTATTGTAGGCTCAATTGCCTCGATGTTGCAGCCATCAGGAGCCATTGACAGCGCGCTTACAGGATGAACTAACCATTAATAAAAAAAAAAAGTATCAAGAGAGTTTTTACTGAAGCCTCAATGTTCTTAATGTTCCTCGTTTTAATAAGTAACTACGGTCAAATAATAAACCACAACACCGCAAAGGGTCCGCAAGTTATTTCGTTTCACCGTGAGTACCGTAGGTTTAAAATGAGAAACACCGCACACCGTACGGTTTGAGATCACCGCAACACCGCAAGATGGGATTTTATTCTCGGCAATACCGCAAAATATTAGCGACACCGCAAATCCCCATGCCCCCCTCCAACAACATTCAGTCGTCCTTCAATGCGTCTGTTCTTCACGCTCTTTGAAGCACCTTGATGTCAGTGGCCACTTCACTGCGTTTACAACCAAACACTAAAAAAAGCGGGACCAGACAAAGAAAACGGCAGGAAATTGTGTACGTCCTGTCTGAATACCTGGAACAAGCTACCTTCATGCCAACCTCGTTCCCAGGGTTCTGTCCTATCCGCCCTACGGAGCAAGGAGAGAACCCTGGGAACGAGGTTGCCTTCATGCCTGCAGCAAGGCTGGGGAAACAATGTCTTCTACAACAAACTCTCCCACGTCTTAACTCATTCACATTTTCCGTCAAACTATCCCGTTGTAATGCTAGTCTTTGCACCCGCTGTTTCAGATATTTTTCATTTCACTTTTTTACTCACAGGTATGTTTATCGGGAGAACCATTTCCGTGCAAGGCAGGACAGATCCACTGGAAACCCAACTCTACATCAGGAGACCAGTACAAATGTCTGGAATGCCCTTATTGCTTTAAGGGACAAGAGCCTTCTGTCCCGTGCGGCAGTTCTGTTCCATACAAAACTCCAGTTGACTGTGTGGAATGCCAAAGTGGTAAAACGTACTCAGACCGAGACGGCAAAGAACATTGTAAAGCGTGTAGGATGTGTTCCGGGAAAGCCATAAAAAAGAACTGTACTGTTTCATCAAACACTGAATGTGATGATAAATGCTTGCCCGGGTATTATGAGGAGCCATTTATCTTCGGATGCCATCCTTGCACAGACTGCTGTAACGATGACAAAGATGAAATCGCAGAGGAATGTGCAAATTCGAAGAAGAAATGTAAGGTTCGTTCAATGCCTTGCAAAAGAGAATCAACGCTGTCTTCAAATGCAGGTACGGTTGGACAATCGACATTAACCGCCCTACAGACAAGTCATAAACCCAGGAAACAAGTGTCTACAATTCCACCTAGCTTGCCTGGGAACAGTCGTGTTGTTGATGATGGTGACAAACTAGCAAACTTTCAAAAAGACAACACTAATGGTGATGATAATACAGTAATTATTACTGTATCAGCAGTGTTTGCAGTGCTAGGGGTGTTAATTGCAATTGTTATAGTGCTGGTCCTCGTATATCAAGGACAAATACCCGTAGATACCGCCTTGTGTCGCTGTGATAGACGTTCAAATGATGACGGTGAAATGGAAGGCTATCACTCTACAACTACGTCACAAGAGCAGCTTCAGCAAGGTAAAAAGTTTTTTTAATACTTAAAATTATTAAAGTGAAACCTGTTTTAAGTCAACTGATATAACACAGTGGGAAAAAGGTCCCAATTGTTATATCGACTGAGAAGTGCCCGCCATAATTCTTTTACGCAGTGGTATTCAGTGACATCATATGTTGATGCATTACTGATACAAGAGGTATAAATACTGAAATAAATACGAACAACTGAGTGACTATCATTTCTCGCAATCACCTCCAAGGATATAAGAGACAAAATATTTAATGACAAAGAAAGGCGAGTATTTTGCGTGAATTCTAATCAGGGGCGGGGTCAGCTGAAATTATGTTGCGGTGTTTTTTAGAATAACTCCACAGCTTAAAACAACATCAACATACTAACCTGGTTATATTTTATAGGGTGTATGACACTTACCGAGTTGGAGAGTAATAACCAGGACATATTTGACTGGGTGTGCTTGATGCTTGATAGTGGAAAACGATGGTTCAGGTCGGATTACGAACGTTTAGCTGCACAGTACAAGGATATTCCACTTGTTATACGCAATACCTTGAAATCCGAGCTTCAAAGAGGAGAAAGTCCTTCAAGGTTGTTAATGACTAAACTCCAAACAATGAATCCAAATCTTCCTTTATACGATCTTGTCGGGAAGCTGAAAAAGATGGGACGTAATGACATTGCCAGAAAACTAGCGCCTCATGTGAAGAAAAATGTTGAAAACCCACCTGCTTAGGAAATCGCGAAGCTGCCTTTTTGTGAAGCGAAGGTTTACGGTAGTAAAGACATGCAGGTGACAGACAACTGAGTCTGCAGTGGATCAAAGAATGACGGGCTAAGACACATTTGTCATTGAAAAAGGTGCAAATGTTTCCAGTCGCCAAAATCAGAAATCTGTCAAATGACTTTAAGAAAAAACACTGCACGAAAAAATAGATTTGCACAAATTTGCTCCTAGCAAATATGTGGCAAAAATGTGCTATGCCACATTTGCATACCAGTTTACAACCTTAAAGAGGCCTTCAATGTTGTACATTTTCAATGTCACAGCTACACTTTTAAGGTGCTCTGTCCTATGATTTTCAGTTATGAGCGCATAAAAAAAAAATATTAGTTGTTTAATGAAATTTCAAATACTAATGTTAGTTTAGTACAATACGCAAACACAAAAGGTGAGACTTGAAGTCAATAGTATAAACTCTAATTGATAAAGAATGGTTTGGAAAATCGAATAAGTTAATATGTTGTAGATAGACTGCGAGCAGTCTCTTAATTTTCTTTTGAGACACTGTAGAATGCGACCACGCGTGAGGGGCAAGCGGCAAAACGGCAAGAAACGAGAGAAACTTACCTTTTCACTTGCTACGCGTGACTCTGAGGAAAAAAGAACGACCTTGTAAAAAAACGTGGCACAGCTCCTTTAAGAGCACGTCATTATACCCATAAGCAAAAAATTAACACAACGATGGTTTGTGATTGGGACCTCCAATTTAATTAGTTGATGGGGTCTACTAAAACCTTGAATGGTGCAAGCGCAAGGGAAAACAAAGAGAGAAATAACCTTCAGTCTGCCCTGCACATTTAGGTCTTCTGACCTTGTCCCTTTGTTAGTCAGTAGAGTCAGAGCCCAAGGAACGATTATTTATTAAGTTGATTCTAATAAATGGATCAATACTGTTAAATAGGAACAAAATTTTTGATTTTACATCTAAGTCGTTAAAAAAGTTATATTTGTTAATAAATTCATCAAAAAATTTGTTGCGAAGCGTATAATACAAAGTGCAAGAAAACTTGTTCAGATCCTGCAATGCTGAGTTTTTTTAATACCTATACCTCGATATAACGAACATTTGTTTATTTTTTCGGAAACTCGTTAACTTGAGGTGTTCGATATAACGAAGCCTAGATATACGAACAAATTTCCCCAGTCCCTTAGCACGAAGTTCCACTACAAAGGCGTCAGACACGAATGCATTGTGGGATGTGGGAAAGTCCCCTCAAAACATTTCGAAGGGTCCCACTTCTGATTCAAAAAATGGGTGAGAGAGCTGNTAAGTTAATATGTTGTAGATAGACTGCGAGCAGTCTCTTAATTTTCTTTTGAGACACTGTAGAATGCGACCACGCGTGAGGGGCAAGCGGCAAAACGGCAAGAAACGAGAGAAACTTACCTTTTCACTTGCTACGCGTGACTCTGAGGAAAAAAGAACGACCTTGTAAAAAAACGTGGCACAGCTCCTTTAAGAGCACGTCATTATACCCATAAGCAAAAAATTAACACAACGATGGTTTGTGATTGGGACCTCCAATTTAATTAGTTGATGGGGTCTACTAAAACCTTGAATGGTGCAAGCGCAAGGGAAAACAAAGAGAGAAATAACCTTCAGTCTGCCCTGCACATTTAGGTCTTCTGACCTTGTCCCTTTGTTAGTCAGTAGAGTCAGAGCCCAAGGAACGATTATTTATTAAGTTGATTCTAATAAATGGATCAATACTGTTAAATAGGAACAAAATTTTTGATTTTACATCTAAGTCGTTAAAAAAGTTATATTTGTTAATAAATTCATCAAAAAATTTGTTGCGAAGCGTATAATACAAAGTGCAAGAAAACTTGTTCAGATCCTGCAATGCTGAGTTTTTTTAATACCTATACCTCGATATAACGAACATTTGTTTATTTTTTCGGAAACTCGTTAACTTGAGGTGTTCGATATAACGAAGCCTAGATATACGAACAAATTTCCCCAGTCCCTTAGCACGAAGTTCCACTACAAAGGCGTCAGACACGAATGCATTGTGGGATGTGGGAAAGTCCCCTCAAAACATTTCGAAGGGTCCCACTTCTGATTCAAAAAATGGGTGAGAGAGCTGTTATTTCAAGCTATCGTAAATTTATATTTTCGTTATCCGAGGCACTTTCAAAGCGTGATTTAACTTTACTGAAGCATCTGTTATGTGACGTGTTAACAGTGAGGGAAATAGAGAATATAAATGACCCAATGGATCTATTTTGTACTCTCGAGAGAAGATGTACTCTTGGCAATGACAACTTCGGTCTCCTGAAAGACCTTTTCAAATAGATACATCGCCAGGACCTTGTCAATAAAATAAACGATTTTCAAGGAGAGAAGACCACTGAACGTAAGTCAGTCAGTAGTAATGAAACCAAGCCAACGGATCAGCGAACACGATCATGTCCACTGAAAGAGGAAGACTTTCTGGATTTTTTTTTGAGTTGTTTTAAGGTACCATTTTGTGATTTTTAAAAAGATAAAGTGTGATTTTTAAAACAGATAAGGTTCCTTCACGTGTCTCCTTCTCGCGCGCCCGTTTTTTCTTGTGCCCACTACTTCCAAGCGCCTGCTACGCAGGCTATGGGGTATTGGGTTATTTTTGGTGTGGTGTTGCGGTAATGTTTATTTCAAAGTACGGTATTGCGGTTTCAGAGTCCAAGCGGTGTGCGGTAAGTTTAAATTTCATGTTGCGGTATATATTACGTAGTCGGTGAAAAAATCGTTGTGTCGCGATGATCTGCTTCTTTTTCATAAAAAGAGGATACAAACCCTAAAAGGTCTCCCTAGCTAGCCTGCGTGAACTGCGTGTCTTCTAAATGGCACAGCCGGGGATCGTATTTCGCTAACCTACGTGACAGGCGTTTGAAAGGCAACGGGAAGGCAAGATTAGGGCGCGAGACCACGCGTGAGGGAGGAGGGAGGAGGAAATAAATGAAATAAATGTATGGAGGGATGAAGAAGTGGGTGAAATAAGGAACAATGATGTTTGCTACCATGTTGATTGTCTCTAATCCTATGTTGTTGTAGGTACACCAGCATTCCGATTCCAAACCAAACAAAAAGGGTTTCAAGTGTGCAGTTTTTGGTGGTGAAGGCAAAGTTGGTGAGAATTATACAACATATCTGTATGTGTCTGATGACTGCGAAGCATCGCTTGAGGTAACTTCGTGTCTGTGGCTTATAGTTAACAGTCTCTGACACAAAGGGGCGCGCAAAGGCTGTCTAATACTTTAGTGAATTCGATTTTTTGTTTCTTGTTGGAATGCTTCAAATTCACTTGCATCCCTCTAGTAAATACATGTAAGAACTGAGCAAAACTATCATTAATTCCAGACAGAATGATTACGTGTGCTATACAGTACTCCTCTCCCCTCTCCCCCCTCCCCCGTACGCTATTGATTATCATGGTCACAACAACCAAAATAGTGTTACAAAAGAATACCTAGAAACCTTTTCACCAACTTGTTACATGTAGACTACATGCAAAAGATTATCATGTCTGTCCTTTAAGACTTTTTTCTTAATCTTTTTAAAGAAGAATAAATTCTATGCTATATTTCACATTATTTTGTTCCATTTTCAGAAAATAATGGAGGAAGAAAAGTCTAAAAATAGGATTCTTATGGGATCTCTTCAGTCTTTTTATGTCGAGACTTTACAGGAAACTGATATCGAGATTTCTGTTAAAGATCTTGATCAAGGATGGAAGGTCAAAGAAGAATGCATAAATCCACAGGTTATTTAATACTCTCTGCAATGAGTCCTACAAATTATACATTAGTTATTATTAATGGTATATAGAGCGGTTTTCATTTGAGTGTCGAAAAGTAATTGGTTTTGCACTTTCTACACGATGCGATTGGCTTAAAAGATTGGCGCCACCTTTTCATCCAATCAGAAGTAAAACCAAAGCCAATTGTGACGCGCTCGCATGCATTTTCCCGCGCTTTGCGTCAGCCACATGTAATTACTTCGAGTTTTGATTGGTTCAATGTATTGTCTGTGTCCTATGTGATTGGCCAGAGTAATTACTTTGGTTTTGGTTTTACGACACTCAAACGAAAACCACTCTACTATGTTTGTACAGCTTCTTAGACGAACGTTTGGTGCTGACAGGCGTATAGAAGCTAAACTTAATAAAAAATAAAAATTGGTAATGGTTATGACGAAAAAACAGGTTTGGTGCATGAGTCTACAGGAGGTATCTCCACAAACAAGTTCATTTATATTTTGTTAACCATTTGTTTGAAAAAATGAATGATTTATTCATCATCAATCAGATCATTCAATGTTTTAGTATATTAGAAATTAAGAGTGCATGTACTGTTTATATTTTTACACTGGTGATTACACACAAGAGTTTGAAGGACTCCTACATACACAACAATACCAAAATCAGAGATATTGTTTTTAACATGACAATGGTAGAAATCGAGATTTTCACTGTACTCTTGAACTAACAGCAGACAACGCAGCAACAAAACTTTCTGCAGTGGCTTCAATCAAAGATGTGAGTTTCACTTAAGTTTAATTTGAAACCTTTATTCAATAAACATTTTCTTTACTGCTGAACAAAGAAGGCAAATTCATGCTTGAGTTGCAAAATATAGTCATTTCTATGAAACTGTCCACACAAACAATAAACCCATTTAAATGAGTACTATAAAGGGAGATGGTTGATTCTTTACATCTCCCTTTATTTACCTTTATATATTAATATCAGTAGCATAAATGAGTGTTCACACTGGAATAAAATACAAGAAAGGCCTACATCAAACAAAAATAATACTGGTATATATACAATTAATAGAATGTATAATATGTACCTTTAAAATTACATTAATTTGAGTTTTCTGCAGGATCCATTTACGAGATACCAGGAGAGCAACCAGGGCCTCAGTCATAATGATCAGATGGTGACTGGGAAAAATCTTTGTGGTAA